CACACACACACACACACACACACACACACACACACACACACACACACACACACACACGCAAGCACACACACACACACACACACATACACACTTACAATTTTTTTCTTTTTTTCTTTTTATATATTTATATACATATATAAAAGGGTTGAATTAAAGTCATATTAAATTAAAAAAAATAATATATTAAAATAATTTACAACGAAAAAAATAAAAATAAAAAATTAAGAGAACATGATAAAATAAATAATTAATTAAATCATGAATTTATAAAATAATAAACATAATAAAATAATCAAATAAGCAATTAACAAATAAATAAATAAATAAGTAAGAAATAAATTAAAAAAATAAGTTATACATAAAAAATAAATAAATAAAATTAAAAAATATATAGAATATAAAATTAAAAATTAAAAAATTAAAAAATAAAATTAATAATAATAATGTTATAAAAATATATGTTTTACAAACACTAGGATTCCTACAAAATAGCATGTCTTTTATATAAAGTGACGACTGCTCTCTGGTTACGAATAATCAACCTTAATAATTTGTAACAACCAATAGCAATATTCTCATAACCCCTATCATCGCCCAGTGTACCTTAATGATAACCCCCAATAAAAACCCGTTACTCCTCTTGGCTAACCAGTATAGCACAGGTAACCTTTATCACAACACCCACCGCATAACACAGTCCGATTATGGGTACGTGCGCCTGTTTACGAAAACAAAAATACACGCACCAAAGCAAATACACCGAAACAAATTGGACACATACTTTCACGAAACACGCTGCTTACCATTACAGAAACGACAAACGGGACGACGTAACGACATGAACGATATACAGAAAACAAATGTCGATCGCTACGAGACAAAACGAAATGCAACGGTGCCTTGTGCCTCCATAGCCGATAATTCCCGCCAACAACAAGAAAAACACACACAGCTGCGCATGATCACGTGCGACAAGGCAAAACAACAAAAGAATGCTAACCTGTCCTAAGACTAATTCGCACGTCACAGAAAAAGACCAATCACCGCATGCTGCTGATGCAACACAGACCTTCGCACAGTAGAACACCCTGTCGCAGACACGCTTACCATACTGCACATACACGCCCGCTTCTGCAGACATCCCTCTGTATTACAAACCCACCCCTTGCTACTACTGCGGATAACCATCCGAGATACACCCCTACCTTACACCCCCCAACATACACAGCATCATCACATGTCTGCATGTGCTAAATTCGCTCGCACTCACAGCCCGTCATAACCCCGCTACATTTAGCGCTAAGCATGGCTCGCCATACTATACAAACACCACCTGCACTAGTATTCTCCCCTTCATTCTATTGCGCATCGATGCATCTGCATGATTGGTCGTGTTGTACCTCTATGAAGACTAAGCATACACTACAACACCTTTTGCCACGTAACACTGGTCCCCCAGGGCTCTCTCGCCGAAACAGTCGGTCGAGAATACACTGGGTACCAGTGTTCGGCCGAACGTAGTACAACACATCACATGTTGTACGAGCGCCGGGTGTAACATGATCTTCGCTGCTAAGGCTTCAGGACCTACTATGGCGGTTGTTGACAACTCGGCGATACCGGCAATGACGACACAGGCAAGACTCGCTAACTCCATACCTTCCATACCCCACACTGCCCCTACCTTCCCTTCTCTTTCTAACAGGAGCAAGCTAATACTAAGTTAACCCCTCTTATGAGCTGCTATGGGTGCTAGGCG